ACAGGCAGGGGTCATTTCCTGCAGGAGCGCACAGGAGCGGAGCTCTGGCAGTAATGAGCCCAGGGGGCAGGCACATGCAACAAGCCCCACCCCCTGCTCCCAGCAGCCCTCAGTCAGAACAAGAAGCAGCCAGGTAAGTTGCAGAGCTCCCCCCCCCGCCCCCTGGTCCAAAACAGTCCAGTGGCAGCTTTAAGACCAAGTTTTATTCAGGTACAAGCCCTCCCTCCTCTGCGAGGACAAAACAGATGCTGTTATAACCAGGGACAGATGCAGGGTATTGTGTTGCGAGTTGAACTCTGATAAAACCAGGAATGAGTTCCAAGTGTGGAAAGGACTTAGGTTTCTGTTGTGTTGTGGAAGCAGCAAAAATCACCTAAGGCACTTAACAGACCAGGAATGATGTCTTTGTTACAAACTCTTTGGAAGATCTATCTCAAAAATGTACATCAGTTACACCCCATCTCCACTCAGACATGATCTATAAAACATGATTTCTTTGTTACAAAAAGAGTTTCTGAATTCCTTGAACACACACGCTCCGCAGGGCTTTTTTTGTAGAAAAAGCCCAGCAGGAACTCATTAGCATAATAGGCCATACCCAACAGCAGAAGCTCATTAGCATATCAGGCCACACCCCCGATAGCAAATCTCATTAGCATATTAGGCCACACCCCCATGTTACCAGAAGTGTGGTCATTCAGCCACACCCACCGTTTGCTTCTTATTCTGTTTACCTTGTTTGTTGTCAAAACCCAGGGCTTTTTTTATAGCAGGAACTCCTTTGCATGTTAGACCACACACCCCTAATGTAGTCAATTCTAATGAGTTTCTGCTGTTGGGTGTGGCCTATTATGCTAATGAGTTCCTGCTGGGCGTGGCCAACTCGGGAGCCAGCCGGAACTCCGTTCCTGTGTGTTCCTGCCCAAAAATAGCCCTGCTCTCCCGTCTTCAAGTACTTGAAGGGTTGTCATATAGAGGATGGAGAGGAGTTGTTTTCTGCTGCTCGAGAAGGTCGGACCAGAACCAATGGGTTGAAATTAAATCAGGAGTTTTCAGCTAAACATTAAGTTTTTGGCTAAACATTAGGAAGAACTTCTTGACAGAGTGGTTCCTCAATGGAACAGGCTTCCTCAGGAGGAGGTGGGCTCTCCTTTGAAGGTTTTCAGACAGAGGCTAGATGGCCATCTGACACCAATGCTGATTCTGTGAACTCAGGCAGATCATGAGAGGGAGGGCAGGAAGGGCTGCATCAGTGCTTAGTTCTTGTGGCCCTTCCTTACACATCCAGGGAAATGCTGATCACCACTTTGGGGTAAGGAAGCAATTTTTCTCCAGGCCAGTTTGGCTGGAGATCCTGGAGGTTTTTTGTCATCTTCTGCGCATGGAACAGCGGTCAGTGGAGATGTGTGGAGGGGAGGTATTTGTGAATTTCCTGCATTGTGCAGGGGGTTGGTCTAGATGACCCTGGAGGTCCCTTCCAGCTCTATGATTCTAGGTGTAAGGACAAACCATGCTTTGTTTCTACCCCTTCCAACCAGTACTCCAAATCCAGATTCAGATGTGGTCGAATAAAAGAGTAACTCACAGTTGGCACATGAGGAAAGGAGGAAAGGTATGGACCCAAGGACTTTCAAGGATCCTTCTTGTAACAAAGAAACCAGGGTTGGTAACAAACCAGCCATGATTTGCTTGTTCCATCTGAGTGAAGCTCTGTGTGCTGAAGGTGATGATGCAACACTAGCTACTGACTGAAAGCATTGCCAATACAAGCAAATCAAAGAGCCGAAATCCTCTTACACTGGCACGAACCATTCTTCCATATAGCACAAGCTGCTAGAAAGCATGGTAAGATGCAATAGTTTCACCAAGTGTGGGTGTTCCTTGCCTACCAAAGGGGTGCCTCCAAGTCACAAATCTTTGTTTCCTCATGATCTGCCCACCCAGGGAACAACTCCCAGGTGAGTTCCCCAACTTCTCTTCCCCTTCTCCATTCCATTCCATTCCTCTTTCCTTCTCCTTTACTAATATTTCACAGGTGTCATTTTCAAATTTAATACCCATCACACCTGTGCTATGGAGAGAGAGAGCAGGCCTCCAATAGGCATGAGCTGGCATGTGGGTCAGGGGTCACCGTGCAAGAAGAATTCACAGACCTGATGAAGGATGGTGCAATGGATGGTTCAATGGATTTAGAAGAGTGTAAATCTGGTTAGTGTGCCTTTGGCTTGGAAACAGAAATGAGCACCGCCCCCTAGAGTCGGATTCGACTGGCTTTCTAGCAAGGGGAACCTTCACCTTAAATCTGGTTAGGGGGCCGCAGTGGCTCAGAGGTTAAGATGCTGAGCTGCAGACCAGAGGGTCTGTAGGTCAGCAGTTTGAGACCCGAGTGTGCCGCGTGACAGAGTGAGCTCCCGTCTCTGACTCTAGCTTTTGCCAACCTAGCAGTTTGAAAGCAAGAAATTGCAAGTAGATAAATAGATACCGCTGTTATGTTCTGAGTTTATTCTATGCTGTTTAGTTATGGGTTGTGCTGAGGTATCCTAGTTTCCTTTGTCGTGATTGGCTGCCTAATAAAGACCTTCTAGTGGTCCTGAAGCCATACAGAGTACCCTATCAGGAAGCTCCGCTTAGGTCCAATCAGACCTCATGAAAGTAGCAACATTGTATATAGTTCAATATTGGAATGGTATAAGTCTGGGTGCCACTCTTATGAGAGCAGAGCACAGCACAGCAGAGCTGAGTAATGTTATGAATAAAGCCTTGAATTGAGAATCGTCTCCCGCCTTTCAATACATTAAAACCGCTTCGGTGGGAAGGTAACAGCATTCCATGCGCCTTGGCATTTGGTCATGCTGGCCACTTGGCCACGGAAACGTCTTTGGACGGCACTGGCTCTTCGGCTTGGAAACAAAGATGAGCACCGCAACCCTAGACAGTCTTTCGAGCAAAGGAAACCTTTACCTTTACCCAGGGGTCGTTTCATAGAAAAAGAGCTAGGGGAACTCATTAGCATAACTCATTAGCATATGCCACACGCCCTGACATCACCGGAAGTGTGTCATAAGGCCACACACCCCGCCCCCAACGGTCCCGGCCGCCGGCCCCAGGCAGGCAGGGGTGGGGAGAGGCAGGGAGGAAGCAACTTACCCTCCCTCTTCTCCTGCCTCCTCCTGGCTGAATGAGGGCCGGAAGCGGGGCAGCCGGAAGCAGGGGGCGGGGCTTCGTCATGTGCCCCGCCCCCCGTACCTCACCCGGGGGAACTGCGATCCCCCCCGAAATGACCTCTGCCTTTACCTTTAAATCTGGTTAAGACTGCACTGTTTGTCATGCTGGGTACTCCAAAGGTTGGTTATTTTGAAAGATTTGTTCTCTGCTACAGCCTAGGAATTCTGGCTGTGTGTTTTAGAATTGCCAACTGACCAGGGGAAAAAACCCTAGCCTTGCCTGCTCTGATGCCATTAGCAGTGGTTTGATATGTTGACATCAGGCAAGTGACACTTTTCAGCATCGTCACCTGTTACTGTCTGCTGCTACCGCTGCTCTTAAAGGCACAGAACTCGTTTTAGGAATGCCTCCAAACTCTGTGCACATGGCAGAATGCCACCTCTCCATGCCCCGTTTCCTTAATGCCCTTGACAACTATTGATTATGATTTATGGGAGGGATAGGACGCCCATTGGGAGCTGCCTCTGCCGATGTCGTTGGCATGAGATTAGTGGCTTAATCCCAGTTTTGTGAGTTTGGCCAAGTGAGCGGCGACACCCAAATAAAAATGAGTCACCAAAAGAGGTGCATGCCATGACTGAAGCGAGGGTTTAACGATGGAAGAGGAGGTGGTGTTCTAGAGGGTTCTCGAGCTTGGTAACTGGCAGCTAGTTAAAATCTAAGGAGCGTGTGGCTGTAGAAAGAGAGAGAGCTTGGCCTCGGAGCAGTGTGACGGGCATCATGTGGAGGGGGAGGGCTCGACCGGCTCATCCGAAAGTCAGTTCCAGATGGTAGGGAAGGCGAGATGTTCATGTGAATGGTTCCCTTGCCGACCCTCTGCAAGAGTTTCGCACAACAGAATCTCTCTCCTGGCTCCATCCTTTGAGCTGTGTTGGATCCCAGCCGTGGCTGGCAAGGTCTTCTGCTGAAACAAGGCCTGTGGTAAAGACCTCAGGTGACTGCTGCATCTACATCACTCTTGGGCAACTGTTATGGGGTGGTAATGGTGGTGGTGGTGGTGGATGTGTTGAAGCAGACAGATGATCTTTATGCATGCATACAGTTGGGTGAAGAGGGATAGAGGCAATGTTCCCTCTAAGCTGAGTTAGTGTGAGCTAGCTCACAGTTTTTTAGCCTCCGGCTCACAAGTTTTTGTCTTAGCTCAGGACAGAGTGGCTCCAGAGCAAACTAAATTATACAGTAGCCAAATTGCTCACTCACAACTTTAATGCCAGTAGCTCAAAAAGTAGAATTTTTGCTCACAAGACTCCACAATTTAGAGGGAACATTGGATAGAGGTATCCATAATACTGAACTAGTGTGTGGAGTAGTGGTTAGAGCGTGGACTGTGGAAAATCTGGAGCCCCACTTGGGGGCATGAAGCTCATTGGGTGCCATTGGGACAGTTTCTCTTCCTCGGCCAACCGATCTTGCAGAGCTGCCGCAAAATGGAAGAACCCGATCCATGTACGTTACCCCGACTTCTTGGAAGGAAGGATGGGTTAGAAACATGAGGAATGAATGCAAGTGTGACAGCTTGTGCTCATACTGTTGGTTTGTAGAGGAGATGTTGTGTACGTAGTGAAGGGAATCGGCACTGATACAAGAGCCTGATTCAACTCTCTTCTGAGCCATAAACTCTCTGGGTGGTCTTAGGAAAGCTCAACCTCTCAGACTGATTCTGCATTGACTTTTCCCTCCATTGTTTTAGGAAACCCACATTAGAACAAAAATTTCCGTTTGCATTGCATGCTGCTTTCACTTCCTTTGATCGTCAGATTTTATGGTAGCCTCCACACTCCAAAGCTTTCTTTGACCATCGGATTTTAAGGTACCTTCTGCATAGATTTATGGCCGTTCAGGGGTGACTTTGCAGTCAGTATGGCATTGCCCCCAGGGTATTTGAATGTGGTTTTGAGCTGCACTTTTCCCTCCCAGTTGAGAAAATGTGGAGTGAATGCTAGATGAAGAATCGCCCGTAACCTCAGTTCTCCACCTGTTCCCCATTAGGGCTGTTGTAAGGATTGTTGTTGTAATATATGTGGCATACTTCAAACCCAGAATATGCTATACAAAATTGAGGGGGGGGGGACAATGTTGGTATGGGCGCAGCTGGACTTTCCACTCTGAGATTTTTGGAGGCTATTTGGGTGCCAAACTGCGTTGGATGCAGCAGTAATTCTGCACATTGACCTAAACCAAATGTTCTCAAAGCACGAGGAGGGACTCCCGGGGACAGAAAGTTAGGGTTACAGTCAGGGTTAAGGTTAGGGTGGCAGGTTTGGATAACGGTAGGAAGTTTAGGGGTAATTTGAGTGGCTCTGTTCCAGAATGTCTCTACAGAGCCATGAATCTAGGTGCTCTGGAACACGTTCAGTCTGTTTGTCATTGATGGTTCTCCTTCTGTCCTTCAGAACGTTCCTGGAGTCAGGTGATTCCGAGACTTGCTGTTGCTGGTTTGTCCTTTGATAAGCATGGAAGTCCTGGCAGCTGCTCTTCTTCTGATCTCTGCAGGTAAGCCCCTGCTTGTGTTAGGACCGGAGAGCAGATTTTAGGATTAGGTTCCTCTGGGTGGATAGTTGCAGGGTACAGTGGCTGAAAATTACAAAGAGAAGGTAGGAACTGCTGATCAACCAGGCTTGAGAATTAGGGGACAGGAACGGTCTAAAGCAGTGTCAGTGAAGCCGAAGTCCCAAATCGTTTTCTGCTCTGCACCTCCCCGATAAAGAATTTTTCCTGTCCTGTTAGCAGCACAAAATCGCAGCAGGATCGTTCTAATACCTGCTAATTATCTTGCATGCATTATTTAGACAAGTTGACTATTTCCTATGCATTATAAAATTGAGTGGCCCCTCCTTCATCTTCCAAGGACTGTTTTTCTGTGCTTTTTAGACTTCTGATTGCTTCAGGGTTCTCTCAACTTGTCTCTTCCTCACCAGAGGCTATAATGCAATTGCAGCATCAAGTCCTGAATGTCTATTAACAGAATTTATTCTGCCTGGTTTCCACCTTTTTCCTGTCCTTGCATGCACCATATTTCTCGACGTATCTAAGTTTCTGATGCCAGTGGATCTACTTTGTATCAAGCAAGAGTAGATTACTAATTTTTTAAATAAGGGTTCGACACTTTAACTATCCACACAATTGTATTGAGCTTTTTATACAGTATTTTGTGTCCTACTTGGCTTCAGGAGCAGATGTGCATGTCAGTGAAACACGGTACAAAAAAGAATCCTGAATGCAGCTACACACACAATCACACCGGAATTGCTTTTTTGCAAGGTTTTATCAATGCATGTTTTCTCCCTCTCTCTTGACAGTGGCCACCCAGGTCGGGGCGACATTGCTCAGGGGTTTCCAATGCGTTGAGCACTCCCAGCCTTGGACAGCAGCCCTCTTTGATGGTCCGAAATTCCTCTGCACGGGGACTCTGATAAGTGATCGGTGGGTGGTCACTGCAGCCCAGTGCCACACTGGTCGGTAGGTATAGCCGCAGGATGATGTCTTCTCTGTACATATACACTAACTATTGGACTTTGGAGGCAGTGCCTGATGAAACAGATCTTAGTGGATGAATTATATGAGGCTGAGTCCAATTACAGTGCAATCCTAAGCAGTGTTAACACTCTTCCAAGCTCGTTGACCTCAATGGATTTAAAAGGATGTAACTCTGCTTAGGATGGCATTGTTAATTGCCTGTATCTTCACAGACTGACAGATCTAGGTGGGCAGCCATGTTGGTCTGAAGCGACAGAACAAATGTCGAGTCCAGTGGCACCTTTAAGACCAGCAAACATTTATTCAAGATATGAGTTTTCATATGCACATGCACCTCCTCAGATACACTGAAATGGAAGTTAGCAGTTCGTATATATAGGCAGATGCCTCTACGTATATGTTTGTGAGTACTAAACTTGTATGCAATACAAAATTTGCTGTTCACCTATGTAGAGGCATCTGCCTATATATATATATGAACTTCCGTTTCAATGTTCGAGTCCGGTGGCACCTTTAAGACCAACAAACGTTTATTCAAGATATGAGTTTTCATATGCACATGCACTTCCTCAGATACACTGAAATGGAAGTTAGCAGTTCGTATATATAGGCAGATGCCTCTACGTATATGTTTGTGAGTACTAAACTTGTATGCAATACAAAATTTGCTGTTCACCTATGTAGAGGCATCTGCCTATATATATATATGAACTTCCGTTTCAATGTATCTGAGGAAGGGCGCGTGGACACGAAAGCTCATACCTTGAATAAACTTTTGTTGGTCTTAAAGGTGCCGCTGGACTCAGACGTTGTTTCACAGACTGATGTGTGTGATAAAACTTTCAGTGGGTAGGATCAAGCCAGCTTTTTCACTCCGTCATCCCCCACTCTCCTCCTTGCTACAGCCCCTGTCTCTGGCTTTTGTCCATGCAGGTCCCATGAACCCAAGCATAGGCATTTGGGGTGGTCAAAGGGGTTCCCTCTCCCTTCTTCCCAGTGGGAAAGCTTGCTGGATCCAACTAGGGTTCCCAACACCACCTTGGCAAATACCAGGAGATTGGGTGCGTGGTACCTGTGAAGGACAGAGTTTGGGGAAGATGTGATATAACTTCTGGGCAGTGCTCTAGGCTGCCTCCCCTAGTCTCTATGATCTTGACCATAGACACTATGTGAAATTCTTAGAGTGTTACTATGTGGAGGACATTTTTTTCTACCACTTAGTTGTTCCTCAGGGGTGGCAAAGTCAGGACTGGAATTAGATCCTTCTCCAGACTGGTCAAGTAAAGGGGAGGCTTAGATCTAACCAACTTTAGCACCACAAGCATCTTCTGAGAAAAGGCACCTCCCCATCTTCTCTCATGCACAGTAGGGAATGCCTCTTCTAAGATACAGATTGCCCTCTGCAGTTTGTACAGGTATCTGTGTAAAACAAAATTATTATTTTTTATCAGCTTCTCATTGATTAAAACACATTTTAAGGACTTTTTAATTCAAGTTAAGAATCCATTAACTGATGAACATTGTAACCCTATCCAGAACTACTCCAGCCTAAACTATTTTATCTCATTAAGCTTAGATTGTAGTAATTCTATTTATGATAGCATTGAAAATATTGTAGCCTTTCTTCTGGTATAAAGGAGGCATGTTTCATTGGGAGGTTCTTGTGCATTTGTCTCCTTGAAATGAATGGGACATTATTCTACTTTGTGCACATGAGAACTTGCCAGTGGATTATATCACAAAGAATTGAAGAAGAAGAAGAAAAAGAAGAAGAGGAGGAGTAGGAGGAGTAGATTGGATTTATACCCCACCCCTTCACTACCCAAAGGTGTCTCAGAGTGGCTTACAAACCCCTTTCCCTTCCCCTCCCCACAACAGACACCCTGTGAGGTAGGTGGGGCTGAGAGAGCTCTTGACAGAAACTGCTCTTTTTCAAGAACAGCTCTTATCAGAGCTACGGCTTGCCCAAGGCCATCCAGCCAGGTGCAAGTGGAGGAGTGGGGGGAATCAAACCCGGTTCTCCCAGATTAGAGTCCGCGCACTTAACCACTACACCAAACTGGCTCTGACGTTTTACAGGATGAAAAAAGGAGTTCAAATCAGGTCTGGTTCTTTCCTTTTTCATTTCAAATGGAATAGGCTTCTTTCCCCTACACCACTAGGTTTTATTACTTAATTTGGCTTCCATTGATTCTTTATCTAGTGCATTAGGGCTGCAGTTACATGAGCAGTTTGTGCCAATATCGCTGTGGTACCTTTGCAGATTTAAAGAGCACAATCAGACAGCAACACCTGCCTTCCGTGCCCCAGTTGTCACCACCCCGTTCTGCCCCGCTTTGGAAGTGGAGTAATCAGGCACTGGGGAAAGTCTGGTGTTTACGGATATCAGTGCTTTCACCCCACATTTCCAAATGTCTGAACTCCCCTGGTGTGAACTCAACCCGGTTGGGAAGTCTGATCGCTCTGTTCTGTTTTCACTCCTTGGGTTTTTTAAATCAGCGCTGTGGGCATAACTGCATCTTCTTGCACACCAGGAAACTTTCAGCTGTCTTCTGAGGTTGGGGGGGGGGACCAGGCTGAAAAGCCTCCTTTATCTTTTTTCATGCCGGTTCCTCTGCCTACAGCTTTGCAGCACATAAGGTGGGGAAATGGTTTTTGAGGGTTTTTTTCAGGGGGGGGGTAGCCTCCTCCAGCTGTCAACACAGAGAAGTGCTTTAAATAAATGGTTATGAGCATATGTAAAGAAACATTTTTTTAAAAAAGAAGCCACCCAGCCACCCACTCCGTAGTTGCTGCACAGCAGTAATCTGAATGGTCAACCATGGGGTGAGCACGCAGTGAGGCTGATTCAGGGTGGGATGTATGATTAAAATTCTCCGTTACAAACTGAAACGGAATGCTTAGAACTGGGGCCAGATTGCATCAACCCTGCAGTCTGACCACAGCCAATATAAAATTAAGCCCTGGTACTGTTAATATAGCAGTGGGTTGGATCTGGCCAGCTTTGTCACTCAATCTTGCCCAGTCCCCCTGCTTACTACCGTCCCCATCTCACATGGCTTTTGTCCATGGAGGTCCCATGATTCCTAGCATGGCCTTTTTGATGGTCAAAGAAGAACTCTTCCTCCCCTTTTCACCAGTGGGGGATCTGGTTTGATCCAAACCTATATGAGAGAGATGCTAGACCAACAACTGGTTTTTCAATTGGAGGTGCCGTTGTCCTTTCTGCTTTCCAGCGATGCAAAAGTATACCCTGATCCCCATTCAGCACAATCGCATCTACTCAAACCAGACAGGCGTTCTACAGAGTGCAGAAAAGAGTTCAATGGCCTGAAACTTGTTTTTGTTTGTTTTCATTCCTCTCCCTCCTTTTTTTGTGTATGTGGTTTTCAGCTTCTCGCCTGATGAATAGTCCTGGAAAACTTGCAAGCTTGCACATTGTTTTGAGTTATTTTGGTTGGCCCAGATTTTAAAATAAAATAAAATGAAAAAGACACAGGCTGCAGTAATCGGAGTGCTTTCCTGGGAGTAAGCCCCATTGAATAAAATGCTGCTTACTTCTATGTAGAACTGCATAGGACTGCACCTTTACTTTGACAAATTCGAGATCCCATTAAGTCCTCAAGCTGTGGTCTTAGCTTGGTTGTGCAACTGAAATGGGAAAAATCAAATGCGTGTTCAGCCTTGTCCCTCCCCCATACTTAGGGATTTTGTCCTTCTTTTTAATCTGTAAAAATGACATATCATAGTCACATGCTTATCTGCTTGCTTGTCACCTTGATTTTTAAAAAGGAATTAAAAAAAAAACACCCTGTCCCACACAATTGCAGGGGAGGAGGTGACAGAAGGGATATAAGTAGAAATTTTGTTTTATTACAAAGTTGTAGATTTAAAATTTACACGGAAACGGGAAAATATCAACCTGGTGCAGTGTAAAGTATCACAAATTCCACACGATGCAATGGTCCAGAGGTCCCCAGGATCTTTAGGAGGCCACCCTGGGATGAGTTCACCCTGGAAGCCTAGCCCACGAAAGAACAGCTGCAACAACTGAATGGTGGTGGCTCCCACGGCCAGCCACCTGCCTCCCGCAAGGATCCCCACAAGGCCTGTCAGGTAGCCAATGAGGAAGGTTCTCAGCCTCCACAGACTATACGAGGGGTGGTCCCATCACAGGAACTGGCCTGTTGGTGCTATGCACAACTGATTTCTGTTTTTAACTTTCAAGACTCAGCCCTGGAGAGGAAAGGTATTGTGAAACAAAACGTGGTGGAGGTGCTTCCAGAGCAACCTCATTGCTCTGAAATGTGTGCATCGTCACCTTTGATGTTCTTGCCTCCACAGACCCCTCTTTGTGAGTCTCGGACAGCACAGCCTGTGGCACTTCGAGTTCACGGAGCAGCTGAGGATTGCTATCAAGGCCATTCGCCACCCCTTCTTTGACAGCGGCAGCAAGGAGAATGACATCATGTTGGTCAAACTTCTAATCCCAGTCTTTGTCAACAAGAACGTCCGGCCGCTAGCCTTGCCAAGACGCTGTCCTGCTCCTTACAGCCTTTGCGTGCTCCCTGGCTGGGGGACCACTGTTTTGAAGAAAGGTAGGGGAAACAAGAAAGAAACTGGGAATAAGGAAATAGAAAGAGGACAGTGAATGGTAGAGCTTCTGCTTGGCACACAGTAGGTCCCAGGTTCAGACCCCAGCAGCTCTGGTTGAAAGGATCAGGTGCTAGGTGATGTGAATAGGGTTGCCAGGTTTGGGTTGGAAAATACCTGGAGACTTTGGGGGTGGAGACTGAGGAAGGCAGACTTTGGGGAAGGGACAGGCTTCAATGGTGTATAATCTCATAGAGCCCGCTTTCCAAGGAGGCCATTTTCTCCAGGTGAACTGATCTCTGTCACCTGGAGATCAGTTGTAATAGCGGGAGATCTCCAGTCACCACCTGGAGGTTGGCAACCCTAGATGTGAAAGACCTCTGTCTGAGACCCTGGAGAGATGGAAGGGCCATGGCTCAGTGGTAGAGAATCTGCAGAAGGTCCCAGGTTCAATCCCTGGCATCTCCAAGTTAAAAGGATCAGGTAGGAGGTGATATGAAAGACCTCTGCCTGAGACCCTGGAGAGATGAAGGAGCCATGGCTCTGGCATCTGCTTGGCAAGTAGAAGGTCCCACGTTCAATCCCTGATATCTCCAAGTGAAAAGGATCAGGTAGGAAGTGATGTGAAAGACCTCTGCCTGAGACCTTCAAGAGATGGAGGAGCCATGGTTCAGGGGCAGAACATCTGCCAGAAGGTCCTAGGTTCAATCCCTGGTATCTCCAAGTTAAAAGGATCAGGTAGGAGGTGATGTGAAAGACCTCTGCCTGAGACCTTCAAGAGATGGAGGAGCCATGGTTCAGGGGCAGAACATCTGCCAGAAGGTCCTAGGTTCAATCCCTGGTATCTCCAAGTTAAAAGGATCAGGTAGGAGGTGATGTGAAAAACCTCTGCCTGAGACCTTCAAGAGATAGAAGAGCCATGGCTCAGGGGTAGAACATGTGCAGAAGGTCCCAGGTTCACTCCCTGACATCTCCAAGTTAAAAGAATCAGGTAGGAGGTGATGTGAAAGACCTCTGCCTGAGACCCTGGATAGATGGAGGGGCCATGGCTCAGGGGCAGTATTCCCTCTAAGCTGAGTTAGTGTGAGCTAGCTCACAGTTTTTTAGCCTCCCGCTCACACATTTTTGCCTTACATCAGGAAGGATGGCTCCAGAGCAAACTGATTTATGCAGTAGCCAAATTGCTCACTCACAACTTTAACGACAGTAGCTCACGAAGTAGAATTTTTGCTCACAGGACCCCACAGCTTAGAGGGAGCATTGCTCAGGGGTAGAGCATCTGGGTTCCAGGTTCAATTCCCGGCATCTCCAGTTAAGAGGACCAGGCAAAAGATGATATGAAAGACCTCTTCCTGAGACCCTGGAGAGCCACAGCCAGTCTCTGAGTAGACAGTACTGACCTTGATGGACCAATGCTCTGATTCAGCATAATGCCAGCTTCGTGTGCTCAGAAGAAACTAAGGATGGGCCACGGCATGGCAGCTCAAAAGCCGGCCCATGGGATCAAAAACAGTTGTGGACTTCGTAGCTGGCCCCTGTTGTTGTTTCTTTTAACATCATCTTGGGGGGCAGAAATCAGCAGGTGAAAGTGGTCCTTCCCAGATGTGGCATCCAAGAGTGCGGGGATCCCGGCAGCCCAGAGATGGGGCAGCTGCTGGGACCCAGGGCTTCTGGCAGGGCCCTCTGCTATCAGCACCCCCTGCCCACTCCCGGGCTTGCGGTCCACCTCCCACCACTCCCTGCGGCACACACTGCCTGCCTGGTGCTCCCGGAGAAAAGGCTGCAGGTAGGCAGCTGTGAGCATGGCTTGTGAGCAGTCAAGGGAAAGACCCACAAGAAGGTGGGAGACATGCAGGTGGGTGGGAGGGCATGAGGGCCTGGTGGTAGGCAGAGGAGGGAGGGGGCCCTGGAAACTCTCTGCCAAGGGCCCCTCGAAACCTGGAACCAGCCCTGCTGAAGCCACACATATCAGGATCACACATTACCCACAATGCTGCTGATCGATGTGGTCACTACGGTGTCTGAACAGGGACAATGTTTGTATTCTGCATGTGTGGGCACTTCTGGCACACGCAGATCAGAACTCTGAGAAATTTAGTTTGTGATTCCTGAACTTGTATGCAGTACAAAACAAAGTTCACTGCCTCTGTTCAGAAAACGTGAGCAGCTATGCACCATTTGGGACCCTCCCGATCTGTGTCAGTCTAACAAATTTGCAAGACAGCTAAAGCGGCTGATTGAAAGATTGGCTACTAAGTGTTTTTAAAGGTGGACGGTCACATCTTATCTTTTCTCTCTCAGCCATACTTACTAATTACTTTCACACTTTTTGTATTATGCCCTTCCAATCCACTTACTTTCACACTTTTTGGATTATGCCCTTCCAATCCACTTTCAATGCACTTTAGCAATCGATTGCAAGCAGATTTTCCTGTTTCACCCAGGAGAATCCAAAGTGTCTAGGAAGTGCATTGGAAGTGCACTATCCAACATGTATGAAAGGGGTTGTGGTGCTGCACAAACCCCTGGGAGGTTTGTATCCCTACAGGATGATCAGAAACATGCATCCCACTTGGAACATGCCCCTTTCTCTTTAAAAGCACCAACACAACAGGGGATGTTGGTTCCAGCTACTTCCTGCTGTGTTCCCCACTGGGTCCCACCACTCACCCGTATCCCCTGTCTTTTGAGGTCCAAATTGAAGTTCTACTTGCATTGACAGATGAGAAGGATTACGAGCAACAGGGCTGGGGCAGGAAAGGCAGCCCTGGCTGACTCTGCCTCTAAAAAAGGATGGTGTCCCAGGTGCTGCTAAAGGAACAGTCTCCAGATTGGAACCTAGGAACTCTAATCATGTGCATAGGCTTATTATGCAGCTGGGTCCCACCATATCGCAGCGGGGTAAACACTACTGTTTGCCAGGGGTCATTTTGTAGAAAAAGAGGAGCAGGAGCTTATTAGCATAACTCATTAGCATAACTTATTTGCATATGCCACACCCCCTGACATCACTGGAAGTGTGTCAGAAGGCAGCACCCACTGCTCAGGCTCCACTGGACTGTTTTGGATTGCTAGCTATGGAGGGGGGGGTCCCACACAGATTTGTCCTCACAGAGGAGGGAGAGCTTGTACCTGAATAAAGCTGCCACTGGACTGTTTTGGATTGCTATCTATGGGAGGGGGGGCTCTGCAACTTACCTGGCTGCTTCTTGCTCCTCGTGGCCCGGGGCTGCTGGGAGCAGGGGGCGGGGCTTGTTACATGTGCCCGCCCCCTGGGCTCTTTACTGCTGGAGCTCCACTCCTGTGCGCTCCTGCAGGAAATGACCCCTGTGTTTGCCACACCTAGGGTTCAAGCAAAAGAGGCAAGTTCTTGCAAATCGGCCCAGATCAGCAACCCAGACAAAAAGGCTTGTTATTTCCTCGGAGGCCCACAATCCCCTGTAGCGCTGTTTAAAAACCTGAACATTCTTCTTCTTCTTTTTTTAAAAAAATACTCTCTTCATAATTGCTCTTATTTCCTTCCCAGTACTCTTGCCAGATGTTTTGCATTGTGGAAATATCACCACTTTGAGTGACTCAGAATGCTTGGAGGTCTATCCTAATGGTGTGAAGAAAAACATGCTCTGTGCCACTGTGAGAAGGGGCGGTTCGGACTCCTGCCAGGTAAAGCAAGATTACACACACACACTTCCTAGAAGAAAAGAGAGAACATAAATTGCACGTTGTCTTATTTATTCACTGACTTCTTTTATACCTTACTTTTCTCCCCAAAGCAGCTTACATCATTCTCCTCGCCCCCATTATGTCTTCACAGCATCCCTGTGAGGTAGGTCAGGCTGAGAGAGTGTGACTGGCCTAAGGTCAGTGGTAGAGCTGGGATTTGAACCTGGGTCACCCAGGTCCCAGTCTGACACTCTGACCACTACGCTGCACTGGCTGTCTTTTTAGAGATTCTCAGATGCTTACTAAGTGGACATGGCTGAAAGGCAGAAATAGAGAATCTGTGGAAAGGAGAATGCATTTTCTGCCATTTCTGACCCCCAGCAAGCAATAAGCAGCACAGCAGTTTCAAGGAGGCCTCAACTGACATGAGATGAAGTTGCAAACACTTTCTAGATTTGTGTATTTAAAAAACATCACTCTCCCACAGTCTTAATGAAAAACACCCAAAGAGGTTCATGACCAACAGTTATAACACTTGCAATAAGGAGTCAAAGAAAGATAACATACTTGAAGGTCTCGCGCTAAGCACTTTGAAATGAGAGCTGCTTCATTCTGATTTTCTCTCCCACGAATGATTTGGTATAAGATCTGGACCAATAACAACAGCTTCCCCTTTCAGAAGGTTAGCTAAAAGCAGCGATTGCATTGCCCCCTAGTGGTCACTGTCTGCTACTCACAGAAATTGTGCTTCTTTGCACAATGGAAGCCCAACACTGCACCTGGTCGACAATACACCAAGGCCCCAAGGGGATAGGGGTTGCCAGCTTTTCCAGGCAATGCTCCTCTGTCTTGCATTGCTAAACAGCAAGCAGAAATTCAGCAGCTGAAGCTCTTCCCTTCATCCTAGAAAAGGTGAGCAACCTTGCTCTGCTAGATGTAGCCATTTCTACCTTCTTTTTGGAAAAATACAGTCTAATGGGACCCTGGATAGCCCAGGCTAGCCCAGTTGCATCAGATCTCGGAAGGTCGACCTGGCTAGTACTTGGATGGGAGACCTCCAAGGAACACCAGGGTTGCTATGCAGAGGTAGGTAACGGCAAATCATCTCTTGTTTTGAAAACCCCATGGGGGGAGGTTGTCATAATCATAAGTTGGCTGTGACTTGATGACAAAAAATATGTTTTGGGACTTGGTTCTTAAATAGTGATTTATTCAATCTGGACCACCGCCATTCTATTTTGCTAGCATCGTCATGGAACAAAAATGGTAAAGGACCCAAAAATCTGCGGGGTCAATTAACACACTGGGGAGTTACAGAGGTTGGCTGGGAAAATGTCCCGAGGGGAGACAGTATTTGAGGGAACTCCTCTGTTCCCTGGAATTTTTCCAGGTTTCTCCAATGGACCAAAGAGCTCAGCCCCAGGACCACTACAGTTTGGCAAAATGGTGCTGGGGGGGGGAGACTGAAGCCCCTTCTCAACGCATGCCGTATTTAATAGCTGCCTGACCAGCAGAAATCCTATGGGTCAGGACTTCCCTTGCACCTCTATCCTAAGAAAAGGTTCCTCTGCTGAATTTCTGCCTGCCAGGGAAGAGGACTGCCAGAAAAGATAATGACAGTACTATTCTGTAACCGTCTTATCTTAGTTATTGATTGATTGGCAAACAACAAGACCAATTAAGAGGCTTCTTTTAGGGATGCCAGATTTTTTTTCTTGCCAAGGCTTCTGTGCCTTTCAAGCAGCTTGTGTGGCAGAGACAGAACAAAAGGGGCGATTTTTCCTGCCCCAAACAGCCCAAGGTAGCAAAAGTGACACCTATTATTCCTCCTGTTGGCAAAATAACCTGTCAAATACTTGGCAACCATCAGGAGCGTTGGGAGTGGGAACATGGGTTGTGCAACATCAGAAGTGACATGGGGTGGCTCTAGGAATCACCAGAAATTCTATGGTTTTACCACAGAGCTACCTGCCATCACTACCCCCCTCACACACAACAACTGATTGAAGAGAACATTTGAAGAGAAGCACATAATGAAATGCAGGCATAGGAGAAAAAGGGTACCTAGGTCTTCCACTAAACAGCTTGCTACAGTAGCCTAAAAGTGCAGTGATTATTTCATCTCTGACTCTGTAAAGGGATGCAGACACCTCAGGGCTTCTCTTTGGCCTGGACAGGAATTAACGGCTTAAGTATTACCCCCAAAAGTGATCCTGCAATGTCTCCACAGGGCGATCCTGGCTCCCCGCTCGTTTGCAACAACCAGCTGCAGGGAGTCGCTTCCTGGGGCTTTGACGAATGCTCCCAAGTGGAGATTCCCAGCGTCTTCACCAAGGTCTGTAACTACATCAACTGGCTGAAACAAACAATGAATTATGCTTAGCCCAGCATCTCTCCTAGCTCTAACCTTAAAAAATAAAGATGTGTGAAAGTATCCCTGTGTGCGCTTCTTTCACCTTTGCTGACTGCAGTGTACCAAAAGGGAACCGGACTTTTCCTCTGCACCCTTTCCCCAACCCCAAATGATCCCAGGAAGCCACAATTGGCTCTGCTGAGGAAATGTATGGGCACTGTTATGTGTAGCCCTATTTTATACCCAGTGGGAAAATAGCAAAAAACAAACAAACCCGGGGGGGCATTTTGGGCTGGGAAAACATAATGGGGGTAAAAGCTTAACTTCCTCACCCTCCCTGAATGCTGCTGTCTCAGAACTGGGCAACTACACCCCTAATACTAGAAGTAACTAAAAATCTGGTGGCTCTGAGCCTGGAACTCCAAGCGTCTCCTTTGGTGCATTCCTCCAAGAGGTATAAGAGATTAGAGGTATATACAATTAATTATGGTGTGGGAATAGAGAGGACCTTTTCTCCTTCTCTCTTAGTGCTATAACTTGGAGTTGCCCACTGACAGTAGATTTGGGGACAGGCAGCGGTGTTTTTGTTGTTGTTTTTTAAAAAAAGAGGTGCGGGAACTCTGAAAAGGGAGATGACATTTTCAATCTGTATACGAAAACTCATGAACTTTTAAACATTTTAAATAGAATTTTGTCAAAGAGGTTCCGGAACTCTGTTCCAGTGTGTTCCCCCAGAAAAAAAGCCCTGGCGTAAGAAAGCAATTCTTTGCACAATACATAATTACCGGTAACTTGTGGCATCCACTTCCACAAAGAATAGCAGTGGCCCTAAAAGGGAGCAGATGCATTCATGGAGTGTCAGTTTGTAAATAATTAATAACAGGAACACATAAAGTTGCCTTATATAGAAGTGGTATAATAACAATTGATTGGCACAGTAATGAGATAATACAGAGAACACGAAAAACTGTGAAAAAGTGACACTTAATTTATGTCTTTCAAGAATCATAGAAAAGTGAACAAAAATAATATACATAATCATAGAAAAATATATTGATGGTGATCTCTGGAATGTCTTGCCGTTTCGAAGGAAGATCTTCTTCTAAACCATCATCTTAGCCCATGGCAGGTTCTACTATACATTACAGCTGTTATGATTATTGAAAATCTTCTTTGATAATTGTGAGACGTCACCAGAGGATATGAACTATTGAGAGACAGTTTTTGTCCCACATCTTTGTTCAGAAGAAGATCTTCCTTCGAAACGGCAAGACATTCCGGAGATCACCGTCAATATATTTTTCTATGATTATGTATATTATTTTTGTTCACTTTTCTATGATTCTTTAAAGACATATATTAAGCGTCACTTTTTCACAGTTTTTCTTGTTCTCCGTATTATATAGAAGTGGACCATTCGTCCATCAAGATCACTATTGTCTATTCAGATTGGTAGCATCTCAGGTAGAGGTCTTCCACATCACCAGACCCGATCCTTTTAATTGGATACACCAAGGGTTGAACCTGAAGCCTTCTGCATGCCCAGCAGATGCTCTACCACTGAGCTATGGCCCCTCTACAATGCCTAGGAAGCATGGAACTCCCTGACCATGTCTGTTGCCCTAACCTAGGTACATACCCCAGGAAACGTGTAGTAAGTAGTTAGACTCTGAGATGACAGTGTAAACAGGATATCCTCCCTGCTCAAAGGTCAAAAAGAAGCCAGAAGCAGCCGAACTGGGGTTTATGGGTAAACTGAGGTTTGTTACTTACCACTGTTGGAAGGAGGAGGAGGAGGAGATTGGATTTATACCCCACCTTTCACTTGGAGTCTCAGAGCAGCTTACAAACTTCCCCTCCCACAACAGACACCCTGTGAGGTAAGCGGGACTGAGAGAGCTCTTTCCAGAACTGTCCTTGAGAGAACACCTCTGACAGAACTATGGCTTGCCCAAGATCACCCAGCAGCTGCAAGTGGAGGCATGGGGAATCAAACCTGTACACTTAACGACTACACCAAACTGGCTCTCAGCTCTCAGACTAAGCAATAAACTACACAAACCATAGTTTACATAAACCACTATTTGTTGTGATCTCAATGCATGAGGGTGTCTTTCTGGAGACATCTGCATGCATTGGGAAGCAGCTAAGAATAGACCATTGATGGCCTCTTGTAGGAGGCAGTCTTTCAGAAGAACACCCAGGCACAGGAAATGGGTTTTCCTGAGTGCGCGTGTGCAATCAGCATGGCGCAATTATCCGCTCATGAAACAACGGCCCTGGCATCCCACACCTACCCGACAGAGCAGAGGTGTCATCTCAGCCATGGAAAGCCATACCAGAACCCACCTCCTTCAGGCGAAGGATAGGACTGAGATGGATGGAATTTTTATTGGAAAGCTGTTCCCTTTAGACAAGGCGCATTTGGAGACGGTTGTGGATTGCACAGACAGGAAATCTCATTCAGCGGGAAGAGATGCAGGTAAAGAATGTGGTGGCAGCTGCTAAGTGCTAATTATCTGACAATGAGTTTAGGAGGGCCAGCCCTTTAGCGCCCTGCTGGAACTTGCTAAGCAGAACTGCCCCCGCCCGAGAGATTTTGTGCTCTTTGCTACAGGTACAGCCCAGACCTGGGAGCCGTATGCAGAACAGCCAGGCTGACGGCCCACGGAGCCAAAGGACTCCTATCTCAGCTAGCGCTGCCAAATCACAAGGCCAGTTCACACATGCCTGCACTTCTATTCCAGGCCCGTAGCAATAGTGGGGCATTTTGGGGACTTTCTGCCTGGGCCCCCCGCCAACTTACCACCCTGGCCAGGCCCCCCAACTTATTTCTTGCACTTGCCACTGCCTTGTGCTGCCTTTTCTCCCCCTGGCAGCTCTCTGTATGTCTCCTCAGCATCCTGCTTTAGATGAGAGAAGTGGGGGAGGGGGCTAGTGCATGCCTGCACTCCAAGTAACAAATTCGTGGCTTGGAGTGCGGGCGCGCGGCTCCACTTCTCCCCCAAAGCAAGCTGTTCGAAAGCAAGAAATTGCAAGTAGATAAATAGGTACCACTTCAGTGGGAAGGTAACACCGTTCCGTGCACCTTGGTGTTTAGTCATGCCGGCCACATGACCACGGAAATGTCTTCGGACAGCGCTGGCTCTTCAGCTTTGAAACGGAGATGAGCACCACAACCCTAGAGTCGGATTCGACTGGCTTTCGAGCAAGGGAACCTTTACCTTCAAATGCTTTGGGGGAGAAGGGGGGCTGCGCGCGTGCAGGGCTGTGTGCAAATTTCAGTGCCCCCCACTTTTTAAAAGGCCACACAAACAGCCCCCATGCGGACCATGTTTGTATCGGGATATTCGGTTAATATAGCAGAGTTTTGCCGAGTTTGCAGAAGTGTGATATGAGTGCAGTAAATAAATCTCCCCAAGAATTATATTGCAAAAAAGGTAAACTTACATGTATTCAACCCAGATACATTCAGGCTGCAGCCGAAAGAAGAGACAGAAGCCTAATCTAAAGAGCACTTTCCCTGTCACAAATGCCCAGCTTATCCAGCACCATGTTTGTGGGAGTGTGAGGGTATCGTACCTACAGGAGAGACCTGTACAGATCTGTGTCTCCAAGGAAGGCCATGTGAAGTGAGTGAGAGGACAAAGGGAGAGGAGGGGCGTCAGAGGACAGCTCCCAGGATAAGACAAAGAAAGGCATCACATTCAAGGAGATAAGAACTAGACACACTTAGGGTGCGTTCAGACGGCATGCTGAGAGCTGTTTAAACTGGTCCGGTTCTGACGCGATTATTTTTACTCTGGACAATTGCGATCACACGGGAGTGTGTGTCGGGGTTTTTTTTGTTTTGTTTTTTTCTCAGTTTGCGCATGCACATAACTGTTCATCCGTGGAATTGAAACACTTTATCCTCGCGCATGCGCAGAGCCACTAGGGCAAATCACGGATTTCGCTTGACAGTTCCAAAAAAAGGGAGCCGAAAAGCAGAAGCCTCGGACTTCCGAGCGGGGAGGGGGTTTAAATCATCGGAAGTGGCTTGACACCAGAGGAGTGATCACACAGGGGAAACTGCAGCTTTAAACGGGAGAGCGGAGAAAACACCACTTCGGGACCCGGTAACAAAATACTCCGGGTTAAAGGGGTTTTGAGTTGGAAACCAATGGCTGGGGACAGGAGGCAGATGTTGACTGCGTGATCGTGCATATAAAATCCGTTGCTGAACTGTCACGACACCAAATCAAACGGTGCGTCTGAATGCACCCTTAGAGTGATGTAGCCCCCCAATCTCCAGGTATACTGAGTTGCTCACTCCAACATGTTACATTTTTCAGTGCATGAAAACTGGCGGTAGAATGTGTGAACAGAGACCATTGTTTTGAGGGGAGATAACAAATCTATAATGGCTCATCATTCCAGATAGAAATCATCACCTGGTGCAGCAGTCACCTCTGTGAAGTAGCTCAAAGAAATCCTAATATTTCAAAATCCTTAGGCAAATATGAAATTTGGCAAGAAAAAAGATTCCCTGAAAAAGAAGTTCCTGAATTTCTCAATTTTTCAAATGTTACCCAACATGACTTTGGAAGATAGTTCTAAAATATTTAAAACCGGGGTCCCAGCCTTCTTTAATCTCTGAGCAATTTTTGAATTCTGAGAACAGGGAATGGGCACCTCAACAAAATGGCTGCCACAAGGGCCCAATCACAAAAAACGACTGCCTCGGAGGCTGCGTCCAATAAGAGAATGTTGGAAGGTTCTAGAAAATGTCTGAACGTTCCAAACAAAGCATCTTCCTATGAGGAAGGCAGTGGTTTTCAAATGGGTGCTCCTTGCAGATCAAAAGGTGATACTTCCTGCACTCTTCTGCTCCAGTGAAATGGAAGAAATCCAAGACTGGCTCTTCGCTTTGCAGAAGTTGGAGTGCGGAAAAACAACAAGATGTCATTGAGTGCCATGTTGGAGATTACTGATGACAAAGCCTTCCTGATTAAATAAATAATGTTTACATATCAGCCTACAGGTTAATAACTTTGGATCC